TCTCCAATTGGTGCTATTTTAAATGGTTCACAAATATGTTCATTTTTTAAGTACATTCTTTTTGTTTTGATATACATCCATCTCAACATTCATATTTCTCCATGCTTATTTTTTGAATGGCTCTTATCGTCCCATAAAGTATGGTTGGTCTAATAATTGTTCCATAAAATTCTTCCTTTAATTTTAGAGGTATACGCCAATCACACATGCACTAGGAGCAGTCCTTTATTTAACTAATCTCACTTAATTCTATGATCAACCGTGCTTTCAATTTCTCATTCGTTGTGAGTAATCGAGCCCAAATAACGAAAAAGGTATTCTAGTAAATTTGACCTTGATCTTTACTACATCCCTACTTGTATTTTTATTTCTGCTGAAGTTCAAACAAATCTATACTATAAAATTCATGAAACTCTTATCTAGATTATGATTATGTGTCTATATCATAGCATATTTTTCTGATGAGGGCATTTGTAAAACATTTTGTAACCTCTCCTGAGATAGATAATGTTTCCTTTGATTTTAATAACACTGGTTAACAATCTCATCTTATATATTATCTTTGACCTAGTAAATTATCAAAATCATTAATGACAGGGTGCCGAAGAACTGTGTTGCTAATAATATGTTCATGTAATTGTCTCCCATGCCCGTTCTTATGGGAACAATTTTTAGTTGTGTAAGTGTTAAGGTTTTGAGTAATGAAGATGCCATTGTAGTGTTAACGGTTGTGGTGTAATGGTAACAAGGTGTAACATGATCACGTAACAAAGTGGTTACTGGAGAGCTAAAATATTTTTTCCCCGATATTGATTAATCCTTGTTGTAATGTACAGAGATGCTTGCTTCTAATACCATAATCCAATTACTTTTTGGTATTTTAATAGTTTTAATGATATATATATATATATATGTATATATATGTTTGAGATTTTAGTGATGATTTAATAAGGATAATGGCCACTATAATGAATTTTAAATTGCTATAGTAATTAAAGCTTACCAATTTTACATTTCACTAATTTTATGGCTACAAAATGACTTGAACATGAAAATATACAAAATTTAGTCAAGAAACCACTGTCAAACACATTTCAGTCTTAGTATCACCTGCATATTTAATAAAGCTTGAGTATCACAAATAAATTATAGAAATAAAAAATCAGAATAAGAAACTAATTTATTATGCTACAATTTTTTTTTTTTATAAGTAAGAAAAATTTTATAAAAGCGCTCAAAAGGGGAGCGAAGCCCTGAAGATATACAATATTATGCTACAATTAATCTCTATACTATTAATAAAGCAAATCATAATTGTACAATGAAAAATTAAATAGAAAATTATAAGTTAAAATAAACGAATGAATTTAAAGACTGTCGTAAATCTGCATAAAAAGTTTGCTATTGACAACTTGTATAATATATGGATACAAAATTTTATTAGGAGGTAATAATGTAAATAACTTACCTTTTGAAGAAAATTTGAATTTTGAATTGATTGAATTGCAGAACAGATATGGGATAGTAGTTGCCTAATATCTTTTTAGATTTAACTTCAAATAATGGATTATAATGAATTTTATGTGAGATTTAACCCAAATCGAGTGAAATATAAGCAAAAAGTGAAACAAATGCAAAATTTACCAATTGAATGGACTCTCGGGAACTTTTGTTGCAAGCACATAGCTCAGATGATGTGTTGTAGGATTGTCAGAGGCTAGATTTAAGGTTTTAGAAGTTCCATTAAACAGAGAAGTCTGAAATTTGGAGCAAAATGAAAAAAGAATGAAAAATTGGGCCTTAGTTACTCATCATTGGAAGTGGCTGTAACGGAGCCGTAATATTTGCGAATCAGATTAGGAGCATCGTAGAAGGGGTAAATGTTAACGCACTTAGAGTTATTTTATGTGCTGACTGTTTCAGCATTATTCTCTGGAGCAGCCGACAGCTGTTATTTAAAATTATGGAAAGCGTAAATTCCCTTCTGCAAAGTAACAACTGTTTTGAAATATTTAATCGACTTTGATAGGTTCTCAGGGACCTTTTGGTGTTCAAATTGTTCCTTACAAAATTTGAAAGTATCTTCACTCAAAACTTGTATATATTTTTGAATTTTCTGCATGCCTGTTGCTTTAAAATTTAAGTAGCCTGTTTCGGATTAGATTAGAACCCTTTGGTGCACTAAGGTCTTTTATTACCTATAGAGGCAATCAATTTCGTTGTAGAAGAATGAAGAGTGAACTAAAATAGTTTTAAGGGCAGTAAAGACTAAAGAGTGAACAACAAGAAGAAAAGGGGTTGGTCGTCAAGGTGCTGGTTTGCGTTTGCTTGACACATTTCTTATGAAAGCGTACAGTTTCTTCCAAGGCTGCAGGATCATTGCAATCTTTACGACATCTATTAAAAAACTTAAATGATGTTAATGCAAATCTTATATAGGTTTTAAATTTACTAACAGTTAACGATGCTTATTTATGTTTTTTAATGTTTGACTTCTCATAAACTGTTATGGTGCTAGGGTCGGATTAAAAGTTTGGTCTATATTCGATACTGTGATCACCGATAGTAAAAACGTTTTATTCTTTATGGGCTGAATGATACGGAAAGGTGGAATGTAAGAGTTGAAGAAAAGGAAAAAATAAAAAAAAAAATAGAAAAAGAAAAAAAAAAAAAAAAAAGAGAAGAAGAAGAACAACAAAGCCCCTACTTATTATTCAAGTCATTTAGATATCATTCTACTATTAATTGAAACTGACGTCTCCTTTGAAAATTAATAGATGTAGGAACATAGAAGCATTTATGTGAGCTTATATTACAGCGTTTTCATTTCTTCAACTGAACATGCTCACTTCTTCGACTGATCTCTTCAATTGAAATGTTTTTCTTTATTAATTACGGAATTGCCGAAGAGTGCTAAAGCGATTGAAACCCGTGCACAGGTGAAGAAGAAGTTTTCCATGAAATTCAATAAGTAGAGGAACGTAGAAGCATTTGCTTGAGTGCTTCGACAATATTACTTCTCTAGATGATCTCTTTTTCTTCTCCTTCCAAATATGTTTTAGAAGGAATATCAGGGTTGCTTCCACAAGTTCCTGACTCTCCTATGGGCCCAACCCCCAGACAACTCCATGTACTAGTGACAGCATATTAGGTTTTGGGTAGTTGTGTTGCCCCTAGGTAAAATAATTGTGTTTTACAGCTTGTTACCCGGGCGTGAAGTTGAGTCTTACTTCGAAATATAGGAATTATTTTGCTTTTCAGCATAATGGTTTCAGGAGGAATACTTCTGAAAAATGATGGTTTCAAAAGGTATGAATGCTTTTTTTTTTTTTGTTTGAAAGTTTAAAAGGTATGAATGTTGTTGATACTAAATTTGACGAATTGCTATATAACGGCTGAGAGTAATGCATATCCGCACAGTAATTATAGTATTTACTTATTGCCTAGTGCAGTAGTAAATCTACCCTTAATCTCGATGATTTCATTGAAGAAAGAGCAGGAAGAGAGAAATAAGGAAAATAAAGGGCAGGAAGAGAGAAATAAGGAAAACTTGGCATAGCTACCTTTATTTTTTATTTTTTAAATTTGACTATTGTGAGGAACAATCTTGTTTATGATGTTTAGAAGTTCATAGTTAGAAAAGTTGACTATGGTATCAACATTTCCATGTTCAAATAGAAATGTAGAATCAACCTTTATAATCTTATAAAACCTTTACTATAGTCAATTATTTGCACAGATCTGCTGAAATACAGCCTATATTTGCAATTGAATTGACATCTTGTAGCCAATATAGCACCATATAGTTTTCATTACCGAGATATATTTTTTTTCATTGTTCCCAGAGATTTTTTGGGTAATTGGATCGAATGATTGCTTTGTTGAAACTGTGCTCTGGCCGAGAAAATGAGAGTGAAGATCATCAAGAATGCGAACATGTTTTTACGTGTGCATTTATAACAGAATTTTAAATACACGTGCATGTCCAACTTGTGAGGAGCCACAAGTGGGTAACAAACAAATTTCGTGTCAAAGTTCTTTGGAATGTGGTTGCATGTGCATAAATTAAACTACTGTTTCTTAATGTGACAAGTTAAATTTGACACAATGCATATTGATTGAGACAATCCACCTTGATGTGGTGCTTATATGACACTATTTCTTTTTATGTTGATCTTGCCACATTTAGGAATGGTACAGTTTCTGTAATCTATGTACATCAATGCAGATTCTAGAAAAGTGCAATAAAATGAGGCAGCAAGTTTTTAGTTCTCCAAATAAATAGAGGAGGAAAATATGGAAATATACTATGAAAAATGAAATGAAAAATATGGTTTTCTCGGTTGGTAGGATCTGGGCTAATTGTCAGCAATACTTAACATTGGCAGGCTGAAAGAAATGTGCTCGAAACTTTACAAGGGTTCACCAAGGATATCATTAATTTAACGAAACTATGCATTTTCTGTTTTGTAAATCTATTATATTGCTTTTGTAATAAAAATGTACACTATAGTTGGAGTGATCTCTGAGACAGTATTGTGCTTTTAGGTCTAACACCTCACGATTGCTGCCACTTGCATTGACCACTCTCTGACACACCACCATACCCCACTATCACAAGATTTAAAATGAATCGCAATTTCTGGCAACGCTAAAGCCACTGCTATATGCTATCTACCTTTACCTAAGTTCTACTTATGCCATTAACACTTACCACTGTCACATTGCTCAGTTGTTTCACCTGTCTTGTTTGTGTACATCATTAGAATAAATTGTTTTTTACATGATGTTGTTAACAAGGATGTTATTTCACTTATCTGAACGAGTGGCTTTGAAGGGACCCCACCTTGATATGTGTTAGTAAATTTGATGCATCAATTTGTGTTATATCCATGGATTGATCACCATTACATATGTACCATCTTGGAATTTTGTAATAAAAATGTTTCCTTATATTTTTTTGTCTCATATATTTTGACCAAGTAGTTGCCATTGTCCAGGGTTTTCCAGTAATGGCATGGTTTTTCTGAGACATAGCCTAGACTAACTGTACATATTTGTTGATCATTGAACTTTCGGCTTCAAGTCTGTGGATAGAAATGGAAACAAAGATTGCAAAGGCATCAGAAAGTCATAGTCAAGTTGCGGTTGGCTTCAAGAGAAAGCGGGCAGCCCGATGTGATGAACATTTCCCTGGAGCAAAACGCGTAGTGTTACCTCTGCAGTCTACCTTGAATTCTTCCAATCCCGAGCTTGCCAAGCGGAGGAAATTGGATGGATTTAAAAGCAAGTGTGGCGATTGTTATCTTTTTAGAAAATCTATACTTAGAAATTATTCAAATTTCACTAAGAGTGAGCTCCCTCAGCGTTTGATGTTTTATCAGAGTGGCAAATGGACTGATTTTCCTCAGGACTTTGTTGGTATGGTTAAAAAAGATCTGCAGGTGAAAAAAACAGTCACCGAAGTGGAGTTTGATGGTCATCCGTTTTTGCTGGATTTTTTGCACATGATGCGGTTGGATCTGAAGACTGGTATCCAGCAGCCAATTGCCTGGATTGATGAAGTAGGTAACTGCTTCTTTCCAGAAATCTTTTGTGATGATGACGAGATTTGTGATGATGACGAACTACATGAATGCTGCCACCATGAATGTAAGAAATATCATAAGCATCTCTTTTCAGAGCCACTCAGCTTAAGTGATATCAAGCTGCAGATTGAAATTGAAATAAATGGATCAGATTGTTCTAAGTTGAAGGAATCTAGTGGAGAGTCAAATGTTTTTGTAAAGACAATCCAAGTTGACCAAGAACCTGCTGGCAATCACTGTGATGTAGGGGTTGAAAATAGCCGTGTCAGGACAACTGATGCAAAAGTCGACGAGGCAGTGGGAGAAAATCAACAAATAGAAGACAACTTGATCAGAAGAATTGATTCCATACATGGAGTTTTGAATTCTGATACAGTGAGGGAAATGTTTTTTATTGGCATGAGTTCATATACCAATGCTAGCATAGTTGAAATAGTTCGTGGCTCTAGTAATTTAGTGCAAGCTCGTTTGGAGATGTTCCAGAAGCAGGTTGAAATTACCAAAAAGTATCGTGGGGATGCAAATGTTCGATATGCTTGGCTTCCTTCTTCTAAAGGATCACTGTCTAGTATCATGACTTATGGGCTTGGGCACTGTGGACCATTTGGACCATTCAAATTTAAGTCCACGTATGGCATTGGTGTTCATCTTGCACCTGCTAATTGCACTGATATCAGGTCAGACTTTTCTTTCCACACTGCAAATTTGCAAATTCTGTTACTGTAGAAGCTGCATCATGCAATTGAATAGTGTAGCAATCTTGATATGTTATGGTGACAGAATTAATATCCTCTCTTTGGGTTTTTGTGTGTGTGCTTTTTGTTGTGTGGGGGGGGGGGGGGGGGTGGTGTTGGTGGGATGAGATTGGCTTCCTCCACCAAAAGGTAAAATTCAACTTAACCTATCTGAGGGCTCAAGAAATAGAAGCATAGTTGTTCAAATTGGGATTCTACGTAGAATCATTTTGGTCTCCGTAGAATCGGATCCTAAATCGTAAGATTCTACCAACATGAAAAACAATAATTCAACTAATTTCTTAAACAATAATGTGTGTAAAATATAGCAATAATAAGGCCAAAATAGAAAAAAAAAAAAAAAAATTATAAAAAAATTATTCTAAAATCCGACTATAATATAAAATAAAAATCTAATGGAAAAATAATTCCAACCGAAGTGTGATGGGCTAAATATATTTTTCTTTGGTGGAAGGTTATACAAGTTTTATAAATAATAAAGAGATATATGCATATAAGCTAGAGTTTGGGCTGAAGCAAACTGGTCTAAAGGCCCCCCAAAAATACAGATCAGTGGCTTTTTTCCCTGAAATATTCTAGAGGTGGATAATGTACATAAGCTACAGCTTGGGCTGAAGCAAACTTTCTCAGAGACCCCAAAAAAATACAAATCAGTTCTAGAGGAGGATAATGATGCCCCACCAAACAAAACAAACAAAATAACAAAAGCACACTTAAATGTGCAAGATAAATCTTTAAGAGTGTTTTTGACAGGAACACAACCACATGCTTGTTGGCAACCAAGAAAAAAAAAAGAAAAAGAAAGATGCTTCCTGAGTAGTCCGTCCATACATACTGAACTACTTTGCTTCATATCATCATCACTTAGTCCGGCGGTCTAGGTGGTGGCCAAGATGCAGTGAAGCCATTTTCCCATTCCTTCATAACCAGGTAAGCCTCCAATCGTGTCGCTTTGCAAGATGCTTTCTTATTTTGTATCCCAACCATCAAAAGAAGGAACCAGCCAACAAAAAAAGGGTCTCAAACAAGAAATCAAGTAGAATCGGTGCAAGCGCATACAATTGTGCGATTCTACAATTCTACATAGGATTCTACTGATTCTACGTACGATTCTGTCAAGGAAACGATTTTATTGTGATTTGGATTGATTTTGGGGGCTGGGATCGTAGAATCTTGCGATTCTACGATCCGGAATCGCAATTTTAACAACCATGATTATTTGCTATGTGGTTTCATATATCTGTGCCGGTGTGGCTCAATTAGTTCTATGGTTGAGCTAACTTCGCTCAGCTGGGTACAACACAATGATTATCATGTTTCAAGAGTATGAGAACAGGAGTGGAAGTTACTGACGGTGGTACACTAATGCATTAGTACTATAGTTGGTGCACTTGTTGTGTATGGTCATTAGTCTTTATATAATGGTTATTTGAATAGACTTTTTCATTATATTTAGCCAATACAATTGTACGACTTATCGTCCTTGGATTTTCTCTTTTTGGCTGGATCTTTATTCATTTTAAGACCAAAATGATCCCATCTCTACTGTACTGCTGAATATACCATGTACCTTTATTGGGTGCATCACATGTAGAAGAATATACTGCTTTGTGAATAACAAACCTTTTTATCTGGATTTAATTATGTATTCATATCAGGGTCCATTACTGTTATTATAATCAATAATGTCATAAGTTAGATCTGTGTGCGATCTTCCTTCCCAGCACCACACGTAGACGGGACCCCACTGGCACTGAGTGTTGCCCTTACTTCTATTATCTGATTTTATTGATATATTTTCTCATTTGGGCATTTAAGATGATAAAAGTTGATCCGGATATGGCCAATCTATTGCATTGGGTCTGTGAGAGCTCTAATATGGAACATGTAGTTGCTACTTGCAGCATTGTGCATGTTTAGCACAGTTTTTGGGTACCAGCCTTTTGGAAGTATGTTGGACATATACCTTGGTTGCTTTCTTATTGATGTTACCCCTACTTCCATTTATTATTCTTTGAAATTTTTTCTGATATAACATATCCAGCTCTTCTTTTATTTATTTTACAGTGCAAATTATTGTGATATTGACGAAAATGGGGTACGACACATGGTATTCTGTCGCGTAATAATGGGAAATATGGAGCTTGTTCATCCTGGATCCAAACAGTTCCATCCCAGTAGCGAGGACTTCGATAGTGGAGTCGATGATCTTCAAATTCCAAGACATTATATAGTTTGGAATATGAATATGAATACCCATATTTACCCAGAATATGTTGTTAGTTTCAAAGTCTCTTCCAATGCTGAAGGTGATAATTTATCCTTAAGTTTTTCATTTGATGGCCAATGCATTTGTTTTCTTGATAACTTTGCATGAGATACCCTATTTGTGTCATACAATATGTACGCTATTCAATTAATGTCGTATATGTTTGATGCAACATGCCAAAAGATTTGGATAGTCCGAAACCATGTAGTTGATCCCAGCTGTCCAATCTCATTTAAGCTTTAATGGCGAAAGCTCAAAAGTTGCTAGGACTGTAAACAGGGGTTCATCTATCACCTCGCTTGGACATGAGCTTATATGTGTTTCGGGTGATGAAACATCAATAGATCTCCTGGATCAATGAGTGTGTCCCATGTCTTTTCTACAGGATTTGTCCTTTTCCTTTTGGTTTGTCTTTTGACTTGAAAATAGGATCTATAAATTGCCTCTTTTGAAACATTTTTAGCACTTGAGCACTGGCACTTCTATTGTCCTGACAGGTTTTTTGGTCCAAAATGAGAGCAAGGTTGATGTTTCAGGGGTCAGTGCTTGTAGTCAGGGGCCGCAGGTCCAGTTGCAGTTGAGTTCATCTCCATCTGATTTGGTAAGTATCGTAACTCATCAGAAATTCTAATTATTATGCTTGCCTTCCTTTTATATCTTGTTTCATAATAGTTCTTATTTAACTTTTGACTTGTGATTAGAAAATTTTGATTGTTGACCTCTCCATTATGTTGCTTGGATTAGACTGATTATTACATAAATGATTATGATATGGTAGATTGAGATTTATAATTAGATAAAAAGATCATGTTTGTTTATTACTTAACAAAGAAGTAGTTTCTTTTTGAATTTAAGAGCTTCTTTTCTTTATACATGCATGTATTTTAACAATAATAAATTTAAGACTTGGTTCTGATTAAATACTTTTTTAGTTAGTCAATTTTAATTCTGGTCAGCTTACTGATGATGGTATCTTCAGAGGGGCTCTTTCTCCCCAAGTCATTCTTTCTTCGGGCAGCCAAGAACTGAAAGTGGTAGGTGCAGTTGCATCCCCTTGTATGGATTCAAACAAGCTTAACGAAATTGGTTCTCTAAATTTTCCATAGCTTTGTTTGAGGCTGGTTTCAAGTAATCCACTGCAGATTATTCCTTATGCACTCTCAAGACAAAAGGAGCGTGGAGGCAAAGGTTCAACAATCCCTTAACCAAAACAAAGGAAGCATAAATTATTGTCATTTGGTTAACCAAAACTAATTTATATGACTTTTACAGATTCAATCAGCTATATCCGAACCAAACATTAGCTTAAATAAACCTGGGGTCGTCTTGGCTATCTTAATACCAGGTCTACTAGATATGTAGCTGTGACATCAATCAACCAGCTTCCCGAAAATCTTGAAAGCTGGGGATCTTTCGCCATCTTGGTCACGGAAAAATATTTATACCGTCATTCAGACTTATACTTGTTGGACCATAATATGGAAGCTGGAATGCAGGGAAGCATTTGACAAGCTATTTCTGTAATTCAAATTTTATATTCAGTTGTTATGTGTGGTCATTGTGCAGGATGAACTATTTATGGAATTTATGAAAGTTAAGCTTCAAGCACTTAGTCTTTTCCGACCAAGAACAAAAAGCATATGCTTTGGATGGGGCCGATGGGCAACAACAGTTGGATGAAATAATTATCGAAAACAATAAAAAATTATATAAAAGCTGATGTTAGCAACATACAATTCTAGACAAACATTTGGAATGTGAATTGGGTTCACATTAGGCCTGCATAACTCATCCCCCACCTAAACCCAATACCAAGCCAACAAAATTGAACAATCTTATCAAAACCCATACTTCTGTATATCTAGTAGCTCAAGAAAAACTTACGACCAAACGGGAAAGGCAACGGGCTATTAATTCCACTCCAGTTTACAATTCACTTCTAATTGTCTTTTCTAATGGTACATTTCATAGGAGGGAAAAGTGGGATAACGAATTGGCTAGAAGGAAAAGGAGATAGAGGGCGGACTTTCCATCATATGGTATGAAGAAAAGGAGAAGGCAAAGGAGGAGGGAAGAGGACTTCCTCCAGGCCCATCAAATCCCGTCCTCCTAAAAAAGAGAGTAAATGAGGACGCCCCTCCTTTCTTTTATGCGTTTGCCCTTTCGAAAACACCATTCTAAGAATTTTAATGGAACAAACAACATTCCCATCTTTCTTCTCCTTCCTGCTCAACCAAACAAAAAATCAGGTTTGACAGCTTCCTCTCCCCCAGTTTAACTTATCCAATAATCTAGACACCCCAATTTTTAGTCTCCTGTATAATCGAAATGAAGACAGAAGAAGGAAAACGTTAGAAAAATCACAAATTGACACATGGTTTTTAAATAATCAAAGCAATATGCACTCTTGCACTACCGTACAGCTGCAAGCACACAAGAAAGAAGTATGATGTAACGATCCACTCCACCACGTGGTATGATACTATCCGCTTTAGGCCTGAGTCCGCACAGTTTAGTTCTTGAGTTTTACCCCAAAAGGTCTCATACCATTTGCAGACTTCACCTTTCCCAGACAATGTGGGATTGTACAACCTGTAGCTCGCCCAGTGTCTCTTTGCACCCGCCAACATTCTATGGAGCCCAACGTCCCCGTTGGCCACACTTCCAGCTGAGCTCCGGCTCTGAACATTTGTAACGATCCACTCCACCACATGATATGATACTGTCCATTTTGTTTCCGAGTCCGTTCGGTTTTATTCTTGGGTTTTACCCCAAAGGCCTCGTACCATTTGGAGATCAAAACAATACATATAAGCACTTCACCTTCACCTTACCCAGGCGTTGTGGGATTGTGCAACCTGTAACTCGCCCAGTGTCTCTTTGCACCCTCCCACATAGGTTGCCACATACAAACTCAAGATTTTGCCAATAGAATTAACTAATCAAATTCAATGTTACCAAAGATGCTCGATGTGCATGTCTAATTGTTCTCGTAAGGTTAGACATGAAAATATAGGCATGCAACATATCCAATATATACTTTTGGCACCAAGGCAAGTCCATCAGCCAAAAACAAATTCATCATAGTCAAGCACCAAGTTACTTTAAGAAGGGGAAAAAAGAAGTGCAACCCAAACATCTTTTCCGCAACAGAATATAAAAGTGCTAACACCTACACACTCCAACACCTCCTAAACGTTCATAATCAAAAGAAATTTCAACTTTACAATTGTAAAGCTAAAATCTGATTAAGACACTGCTAATTCATTTCTATGATTCAGAAATCTTCAAGGTGGTACAGGACTATTCTGGGGATTTGTGGATATCAAAAGTAAATACAAGAAATCAGGGGCACTGCAGATGGGATGAGATTCTGCTCTGGTGGGAAAAGCGAATTTCCAGGCATTCATTGTTGGTTTTACTGAAGTACCACATGGGTGGAAATAGCAGCATCAATAATTTGGAAAGGCATAGAAGCAAAAGAAGTATTATCTATGAGGTAAGTGGTAGGTTGCTGGAAAAGAAGTTCAGGTACTCAGGAGTGCAGAGGTCTGGGGGTAAGGCAATGGGCAGCAACCACACTCATTCATCGGTTTGAAGGGCTTCAAATAGTAGATAAGATAGACGTGCGCATGAGGTTCAACATGTTGAAGGACTTCAAATAGACGGCGGATTTTGAACTTTTGATAGAACTATGTATCAGATAAGGCCTTGGGAAAGTATGGGCCAAACAATTGAAAGTTCAGCCGAGTAAACAGGGATCAAGCAGGGAAGCATGGGTCTAAGCAAGCCATAGGGATTTTTCTTTTTCTTTTTTTCACAATCCAAAACCCTGTTTACAAAATCTGTTGGAAATTGTGTCTCAAATTCCTATTCTAATTAAGATTCTATTTTAGAGTTGTATTCTATTAGGTAATTTCTTATTTGGCAAGTCTTAGCCTCTAAGAAACTGTAATCCTTATCCAACAAGGAATTGGGTTTGGAACTCTATAAATAGATACATAGGCTTTGGGTTGAGACTTATGAGATTGAGAGAGATGTAGTCTCATGAGGGAGTTGATGGGTAGAGGTAGTATGCGGGTTGATAGAGTAGGAAAAACACCGATGATGCTGGTAGCGAGGAAATAGACTCGTGGAGTTGTGGTGTTGGTACTCTATTGTTATAATATCTCTACAAATCATAGTGGAATTGTTAGCATTTATGATACCACGATTTATGGTATAACTTACCATAATAGCCGAGATATGATAGGCCCAAATCATGGGATGTGATTTACCATATTATCTGTGAGATATGATAGCCACAAATCATGTATTTGACTTTACGCATATGTCTGGGCATAGAATATGCAATGATTTGATTTAGTTTCCTTTCTTGTAATATGAGCATGTGCTCGTTTTATTTATAAATACTAGAGCTGTGAATGGGTAATTTATCTCATTCAAGCCTTTACGTAATTCTCTATTTTCTCTTCTTTTTATATATTTCTACTTGGTATCAGAGCTAACACCTTTCCACACCTTTCAGCAACCTTGCTACTTGTGCGACAGCTACCTTAGGTTGTTTGTGACATCGTGTGACGTTGCCTACACATGTTTTTCTGTGTTGCTGTTTTGTGATCGAAAACAAGTATTTTTAAGTTTTACAATTTCTTTTTCACTCTTCTAGGGTTGGGTAAATTGGGATAGTTGGTTTCCAACACCTAGAAGGGCTTGGGTAAAAAAAATTAGTTTACAAAGAGGTTCCGAATATTAAGAAGGAGGCTGTCTGGCTATATGTAAGCGGGCAACGCTCCTTAAAAAAGGTATGTATTTGGATTTTTCGGGAATGGTCTGAGGAGACAATGTTTATGGTCTGAGGAGACCCTTTGATTTATTAACAGAATTTGTGGTGTTTTTGGAGTTCTTTTTATTGTCGTGTGACAGATTATGGCAGATTCAGGGTCCTCGACTGTTAATTCTCTTGGTTCACGTTCTGTGGGTGGTGGTGCCATTTTTCCCACCAACTCATCAGAAAATCCAGGACTTCAAATCACCACAGTGAAGTTGGATGGTTCCAACTATTTGATTTGGGCACAGTTTACCAAAATGTTCATTGGTGGCAAAGGCAAGATTGGCTATATTACTGGTTCTGAGAAAGAGCCAGCTGAGTCAGAGAAGGCATATCCACAGTGGTTTGCAGATAACGCTATGGTTATGTCTTGGCTAGTCAATTCGATGCAACCAAACATAGCTGTTGGCTATATGTTTATGAAGACTGTTAAGCAGATTTGGGATTCAGTTCAACGCACTTATTCTCAAAAGCAGAATAATGCACGAATTTTCCAGCTGGGGCGAGATATCACCAGGATTTCTTAGAGTGACTTGACAGTTTCAGGTTATATCGCCAAGCTTCGTGCTATTTGGGAGGAGATGTCATATTATGATTCCTTCCACTGTTGGAAGGATCCAGATGATGCAGTTTTATATGCAGGAATTGTGGAGTAGAATCGAGTGTTTCAGTTTCTTACCGGGTTGAACGACGAGTTTGAGTATGCTCGTGTTCATTTATTGGGCTTATCTTCATTCCCTACTCTTGAGGATGCATATTCCTATGTGTTG